TTACTGGATTCAAAATCCATCCTTCCCTTTCACACCACAGAGAACTACTGGCCACGGTTGGGCACTGGAAGAATCTAATGAATGAGATATAGTATGAATTATAAAATAAAAATGTCATGGATTTAAATTCCTAGTTTTGTAGGAGAAAATTTTCCTTGTGTTATAGAATTGGCCAAATATGTTAAGGAATTTCACTTTGTTCTGCCATTCATTCCTAGAGTCTGCGTTGATCCTAGACCTTGTCTGGAGATGAGAGGACCACATCCCTCTTATCTTACCTCTAATCAGACTGGTTTGTGGTATGGCAGTTCTCCATGAACTTTCAGCCCAGGGGCTGTTGAGGGGGCTAAAATATCTGGCCTTGATAAGCCTTTTGTTTTTAAGAGATATTACATATGCACACAGATGGCGAGGAAAGAATGACAGGAGACCTAGGACTGTGTGAGTTTCAGTGGATGAGAGGATAATGGAGTGCATTGCAGGCAGCCTGCTATGGGAGTGAGACCACCTCAGTCACTGGAGAGAGCTTCTCAAGTGCAAAAGGAAATCCCATTGCTTATTATTGTTGCTACATGATTCTAGAGGCAGGGGCTGACTCACTGGAAGACAAAACTCCCTATTTAGGAGAATCACAGATGGGAGGTAGAAGGGACGAGATCTGAGAAGTTGTGGTATGAGACAGGGTGAAATATGGTAGATGAGCTACAGAGGAGAAGAAAAGCAGAAAAGGTATTTCTCAGCTTCAGTGCTTTGGTCTTTTCCTCTCTTGACCCTTCTTCATTAAACCTGAGACCTCTTAGGACAAGTAGCATTTTTTTCTTACTCGTCTGTTAAATAATTATTGTGATTGCTTGGTTGTTTCATCTGCTTCTTCAATGTGCTCAACTCACAGGGTGTGCAGGGTTCTTGTAAACACCAACACAGAGTAGGAATAGCTCTGGGACTGCCTGGTTCAACCTCAGCTTTGCCCTGAATGAAGGCAAGATGCAAGTGCTTTCCAGTAGTCAGTGGTGCAGAGTGGAGTCATAAGGGAAAGGCAAGCAAAGGACCTGAGCTGTAAAACAGCCTGTGCTCATGATATCTCTGCCCTGGGTTGTCTTAGAACAATGCTTTTCCACCCCAGCCAGATAGCAGTAGGCAACTCCAATCATTGATTTTGGCTGTTTTCCTGAAAGACTAGCCCAACAGCCCCCAGCTTTCCCATCCCGACCTGAGGGGCTGGCACTGCCATCCTTGAAGCTGGTGTCATGCACAAAGGATGGTCCAAAGAAGATGTTTTTACTCCCAGAGAGTCTCAGTTGTCCCTGGCCTCTGCCCTCACCAGGTGGCACCCAGCAGTGCAGGCGGCAAGAGCTCTCAGGACTGCTGCATGATGGTGTTTGCTTTCATTCCCTTTCTAAACTGGAAAGGGTCCCTGGGCTGCACGGGAATACAGCGAGGGCTCCCAGTACATCTGGGTGCAGGGAGCTGAAAGCCCCATGTGCTGAGACAACTGCAATACTAGCTTGATGATGTCATCCCTTTTCTGGTGATAGCAGGTGTGCACCCTGAGCTTTTGACAGTGTCAGTCAGTTCTGCATGCTGGTCTTTAGTCTTGGGAAGGAAATTTTTCCTATCATATCACTTCTCAGTCTGCTGTTCATTGTTATGGTTTGGTAAAGTCCTTAAATAACTCCTTAACTTTACTTATGTGCAGTCAGGTTTTCAGTTTGATTTCCTTAGTATACGAGAGCCTTGTTATTCTCTTCTCTCTCCCCTCAGGTCTGTTAGCTGCTCTCCTAATAAGTTTCCTAGGTATTGGCCCTTTTCAGCCAGATTTTCTAGAGTCAGGGTTCTCAAGCATGATAAAGCTATTGCAAGTTTTGTGAAGAGCAGAAACTTGGAAGGGAAGAGGCTGAAGTGTCCTGAAAGAAGGAAATGTTGCCACATGAGCTCAACCCCCATAGAATGCCAAAGGACACAGTTAAGAGAAAGCCTCACATGCTCCTCACTCCTGGGAGAGGCCCCAGTCAGAGCTTGTTACTGGCAAGGAAACCATGCTGAATCTCTCCTGCTCTTTTCTTGGTATCTAAGATATTTCTTCAGGTCTTTGGTCTTTGGGATTATGCATTTCTTATAAGGTGGGAGAAACAGAAAGGGTGGACTCTTTGAGGGTTTACTGGACTTAACATCCCTTAAGCCAACTCCCTTCCATGTGCACACACACTCATGTCCATCAGGCAACAGGATGTAACAACCCTTAGACACCCAGCTCAGACCTTTGTTTATCTCCACACCTGCCTATGTGTTGGATGGAGGCTCCCTATTATTCCTAATGACAGAGACCAGTGCCATTGTATGAAAGAGGAGCTAAGGACATGATGTTTTCCAGGCTATGGAAGCAGCACATCTCATTGTGAAACAACAGTAATATTGTCAGTACAGTAAGATGGAAAAACATGAGCTGCTGCTCCAGAAAGGAGCATCTTACCACAGGCAGCACTCTATACTCCCAAGTCAGGGAATAGTGAGGGCTGCAGTACTGACCTCTTAGATACCTTATTTCAGGTGTAAAGGACCTTCAGCACTCAAAGCCCTGAACTCTCTACTGAAATTGGATACATAAAGCCTTCCTGAGTGAACTTTTCCCAGGTTTGGCTGGAAGGAGAGCCCTGTCACTGCTCCTATGCCTACATGGCAGCTCACTGCTCTGCATACTTGCTCAAATTACAAGAGAGCTGGGTTCAGCTGCTGATTGCTTCCACGGATACTGAGCCCAGGCAGTTCATCTTGCAGGTGAAGAGCTCCACATCTCAGCCAAGGAGCCACTGCAGCCATTTCTTTCCTTCTCCCTATCTGGTGAACATATGGTGAAGTCTGACAGCTGGATGAGCTCTGGCAGGGAAAACTGAGTGACCCCCACAGCACATGTTATGGTTTGAGGTGAGGGAGGTGAATGCTGTCACAAGGAGAAGCAGATTACAAGCTGGCTGGCCTACTCCTTTCACTAGTGCTGCAGTGGTTGAGTCAGTACAGAAATTGTGAGCACTAATACTGTGCTGAGCTGTGTCATGTGCAGGATAGGACATATCCTATCTTCTCTGTTGCCTTCTGAGACTGTCTCCTCATTTGATTCTCTTGGGTGACAGAGGCAAAGAAGTGCTCAGTCTGCAGATTGCTCTTGTGGTTGGGCTGTCAGACTGCTGCTGCTGCAGTTCCCAGTCCAGGAGAGGGACTGTGAAACTGTGAGACATGCACTGAATCAGCATTGCAAGTGCTTGTGAAATTTTGAGGTCAAAGCCACAAGTGCCAGCTGATGTGTGGCACAGTTAGCTGGTAGTTGAGCATTAGTGGACCAGAGCACTACAATTATGTAAAGTCTCCTGCAGATCTAATCCTCAGTCTCTTGCCCAAGGTCAACTAAGAAGTAAGTCCATGGCAGAGAGGCAATTGAAAAACAAATGAATCACCAGAGTCCTAAGCTACTGTACTCACTGCTGAATCCAATCCTGAAAAATAAAAACTTCAAGCCAGATTGTATTAAAGCTGTCACACTTTTCATATGGCTGATTGTTTGCATGCGTATAGGTGTCACGGGGACTCAAACTGATAGTAGACAACAGCTCATAGTGTCCTAGAAACATAGAATAGCTTGGGTTGAAAGGGATCTTAAAGACAATCTTGTTCCAACCCTCCTGCTGTGGACAGGGAGACCTTCCACTAGACCAGGTTGCCCAGCACCCCATTCAACCTGGCCTTGTACACTTCCAGGGATAGGGCATGCTTCTGACAGGTTTCTATGGATATGTATCTAGTAACTGTGTGCCACCTATCAAGCACAAAATAGTAATCCTATTAAACAACAATGCAATTATACCACCAACAATACTAATTTCAGCTGGAGTTACAGCATTACTTTTTTCTTTTCTTTGCCAAATATTATTTGATCACTCATCTGCAGAAAATAACTGTTGCCTGACAGTTGAGTAAAATCTGGTTAGTTTTTGAATCTTTCTTTCAGGCAGTCACCAGGTTTGTTGAGGAGCTCAGCAGACCTTGAACTTGACACTGGACTTTTTCATGTCCTAGCCCTCAGCAAGCACATTTTCTAATTCACATTTGCTGTACTCTTACTGGGTACAATGCATTTTTCTCTCTAGGTCTGATAAATAAAGCTTAAGTGTTTCTTCTGCAATTCTCATTTTCTTTCCAAAGTTGTCTTTTAGTTAAGATGGAATATTTGCAAGCCACTGGTAGGAAACAAGCACCTAACAATCCAGGCTTGCATCTGTATGGCTCCCTAGATTACAGCTCCACAACAAGAAAGAATGCTACGAATCTACTTTGTCATTTTTACCATGATTTGTTTTACTGAGGATTAATGAATTATTCTTTCACCAAAGAATTAACAACACTCTTTTTCCAGCACAGAAGTGAATGGTTGCATTAACAAGCGACTATAGACTGATTCCAAGCAGGCAACCAAGTGTCAGAAAAACAAAAAGGGATTTAATGCTGCACCAATGGGGAGCTTTTGAGATGGGGAGCTAGGACGGCCGTTCGCAGTACAGCTTGATAAGGCTTCTTGGCTGATTGCTCCTAGTGGGATAAAAAATGGGACTGAATCCAGAATACAAGTGGGATACTGGCTTGCACAGAATGAAAAATGATCTAAAAATTTCAAGCTATGGACTCAGGTCCGTGCTGAGATTTGGGAAACTCAGCTGAGCTTAGTTCATGTTGCTGGGGTTTGCATGGTTACTTGCTATTGTCTGGGTTTCTGACACACAATCCATAAAGACTATTTCCCAGCAAACTGAAAAGACCACAAAAGAGTATTTTTTTCCTGGGCTTTGCAGAATTCAGGGGCTAACTCAAATCCAAGTAAACAAACATAAACTTTCAGGTGCTCAAACTTCCCTGCAGAAGACTGTTTGACTGTCCTGCCCTGTGGCTCCTCTCCATGGCTCCAACCAGTTCTATGGTATTGATCCCTGACTAAGACATGCAGCAGCACTTACCTCCAAGACCATCTCTGTCATCTGGAACTGCTTCTGGGAGATCCTGTCAGAGCTCACAGGCTCATGGAAGAGCAGGCAAAGCATGTCATACTTCTTCAGGGCCTGCTTGTAGTTCTTCTCGTTCAGGTCGATCACTCGGTCTTTCCCATCATAAGTGGGGAAGTTCAGTCCCTCTTCTGCTTTGCAGCAGAAAAGCAGGTAAAAACCTGCCAGGATCCAGCAAGTTGCCTTCATAGGGGTGCCCTTGGAGTGCAGCGGAGGGTGGGTAAACGTCCCCCTCTTTCTTAATTTGGGAAGAGGGGGAGACCAAAAGCTCCAGATGAGGTTTGAACAGGGTTTCTCTTTCTGCTACCTTCCTAGTGATCAGCCCAAGCACTAAAAGGCTTGTGGGGTGCAGCAAACTTCGCTGTCCTGGGCTCACAACAAAGAGACAGACGGGAGAAGCTGTCAGGCCAAGCCCTGGATACCTTACATAGCTGTGTCCAGCTCCCGTGTCATTAGGAACTCCATTTTTAGGAAGCAGTTGTTTCAAGCTAAAAATAAACCCTGCAATGAATAAAAAGGACAGATATGACACCATTGAGGGACTTGTTGGCAGTCTGCATCATCTGAGAGAGAGTGAGCAAGAGGGAGGGGTAGAAAATGTCAGTCCTGGGAATACGCAGGCAGGGTTTGTGAAGGGAAAAGACTCCACTTGTACAGGGAACCAAGGCACAGACTGTCCTACTGAGGCTTGACCAAAATAGAAGGTATTTACTGCAATTTATAATAAGGGTATCTCTCTTTGCATCCCCTTGGGCATCACGGTGATTAGGCTCTGGATAACAGATCTCAGGTTAAAGAGTTTCATACCCTCATCTGCACTGGAAGTCCTGTTTCCTCATCAGCAAAGGAGGTGAGCTCTCCTGGGACTCTCTCCTCCTCCTTCTGCCTGGGGCACCCTCTGAAGCTGCTGGCTGACATTCAAGCTGTTTTCTGAAGCACATTCTCTGCTTGTGGGGCAGCAGGAGAATTGCTGGCCCTTGGACCTGTAATCCCAAAGCAGAGGGAAGTTTATGTTGTAACCTACCATGCCCACAGCAGTTACCAAGCCCCACACATTGCTGGTGAATGGTTAAAACCTTACCTTACTAAGAGGGATGAAGGGCAGAAGGCCTACGTCTTGGGGCAGGAGTCCTCAAGATGTTGGGCAGATGTCACCATCACTGCTAGCCTCCCTTTCTGGGCCCTTCCTATTGGACTGGAGTGGGGTTATTACACAGCCTTTTGCATTTTCTGACAAGATCTCTTGTATATTTTTTCCTCTTCTGTCCCACAAATGGTGACTGGTTCCCCCTTCCCTAGGAGCTCAGCACCAGCTGCCACTTTGCTGTATCACCTGCACAACACTGCTGGGGGATAGTGGTTCAGTGGCACAGTCTTTCACCTCTTCGCCGCTTCTGACCAGGGTGTCACCTCTGCCCCATGACTGGCAGCAACAGGCAGGAGGAGACAGGCCAGCTGGCCACAAGCCAGCACCGGGTCTGGCAGGGATCCACTGGAGAAGGCATGCTGAAGAGCTGGCAGAGAAGAGCTTGACAAGGGGCACAGCTCCCTCCCCCCTGCCAAAGTGATGTGCAGACGAGTGGCCTTATCAGTACTCCTCCTTGCATGCTACCCCATCACAACCTTGCTCCATCCACACCAGGAAAGAGATGAGGTCCCTTCTTGGTGCAGCTGTTTCAATTTGATTGTGTGTCTGGATTAGTTCAACATTGGGGCAAAAACTGAGCATTACTTAGCAGTTATAGAATCACAGGATCATTTAGGTTGGAAAACACCTCTAAGATCATCTAGTCCAACCAACAACCCAGTACTGCCAAGTCCATCACTATATCATGCCCCTAAGAATCACATCTATGTTTTAAATACCACCAGGGATGGTGACTCAAGCACTTCCCTGGGCCGATTGTGCCCTTCTCCTGGGTGACTTAGGAGCACATGTCCCCCTCAGCTTTCACTTCCAACATGAACAGCCTGGCAGAACACACTGGCAGAAATTTTGTGGGCAACAGTTTCCAAGACTGTCTTCTTATTTCCAAAGCCTCCTCTTAGCTCTGCTCATGCCTTTTCAGGAGTTCAGAGTTTGCTGGCAACTTGCAGTCCTAATGATGACACTTGAGCAATCTAGGTAAAATCCACAGTAAGATAGCCTTTGAAACATGCTCCTTATGGAGGCAGCCTTCAGGGGCAGTCATTTTTAGAGGGAGATGTGACAAACCTGGATAAGTCTGATTTCTTTTAGTGGGAGACACAAGACTTGTCACAGTGGGTAGCAATGGCTGGCTAGGCTTTTCCTGAATGCTTAGGATGTAAAACACAGAACTGAGCTTGTGGAATGACCAGGCATACATTAGGCCAGTTGACTGCCTTTGAAGGACCTCATGGATTTGGGGTGCAGGAGCAGGCTTCTGCTGGCATCATAGTATGGTTTAACACAGGCACACATCAGACAGGGCTGTAAAAATGAAATGTGCACAGCTACTTCAAAATTGGCTTATAAGGCTCCTGCCCTCCTTTATTCTTGTAGATCTTCAGCAATTGCTCCACTTTCATATTGTTCAGGCTATTTTTGAGGCGCTTTCTTTTTAATCTGCCCAATACACCTTTTTTTTTACTAATAACTTTTTAATCTGCCAAAAATAGACACAATCCAATTTTCATTTTCTCCACTTTCTGCTGTCAAAAAAAAAAGCAATAAAAATGCTTTTCAAGCACAAAAATTGTCACCCCATTAGCCCCAGATGCAGCTAGTTTATCTGCTCATGGCATGAGTAGCAAAAAGTTTTGATTGTTAGGTTTCACCTCTGTGTCAAAAGGAATTCCTCCAGCAGACTCACACTGGATGTCATGATCACTGGACAGTCCATCTCTTTGTGTCTCCACCTCTTTGTGTCTCCACTCTGAGTCTCAGTGACACTGTTAGGGCTAAATCTAGTGGACATTTTCTGTGCTCTAGCTCTAGCTCTAGCTCTAGCTCTAGCTCTAGCTGCATCTATATGAAATTCAAGGCACCTTGTTTACCAAGACATAAGTAAGGATTAATTCCTCAAAATTTGAACAACTGCCTCAATCACCTGAAATTCTCAATTCCAATAAAATTTAGACAAAACAGATGTTCTTCTTGCCACCCTGCCAATACAGATCTGAAATCCTGGATTCATGTGTTTTAGGATCTTCAGAATAGCAGTGCATCTATATGAAATTCAAGGCACCTTGTTTACCAAGACATAAGTAAGGATTAATTCCTCAAAATTTGAACAACTGCCTCAATCACCTGAAATTCTCAATTCCAATAAAATTTAGACAAAACAGATGTTCTTCTTGCCACCCTGCCAATACAGATCTGAAATCCTGGATTCATGTGTTTTAGGATCTTCAGAATAGCAGTTAAATACTTGAATTTAATAAAGCTTTTTTTTTTTTCCCCCTGGGGAATAGCAGAGCTGAGGCCGAAGCAGATGCTTCTACAACCTGACAAAGACCCTAAGTGTTGTGTTTTTGTCTTCATCATCTCTGGCTGCTAATCTTGGCCCCAGAAGCAAAACTCCTTGGAAGCACAAAGCTTGTCCATCCACTCTCAGATAATGTTTTAAATTTGGAATTATGGGGCAGGTTCACTGTCAGGAAAAGTACAGTGTGCAACCCTCATGTATTTGGGGAACCTGAGTGTTGCTGATGGCCCATTTCTACAGAACACTGACGTTTCTTTGTGTGTTAGTTCCTCTCCCATAGGGTAGGAGCAATAGCAGTTCCCCATGGGAAAGAAGGATGAGCAGGACAAAGAAATTTCACAGATTTCTCTGTGAAATCTTGGATTTTGCACTCACCAGTTCACTACAAATATTGCACTATCTTTCTGCATAATCCAGTGTCTTCCTCATCCCATTTAGCTGCCTGTGGTTTCAGCACATCTGTTTCTGTGGGCAGTACCGTGCAAGGGAATTATATGGTCCACACTGTATCCTGGGACACTTGCCATTCAGCTCAGATAGCTCATTTCTGGCAAAGCTAGCATCTGTTAGTCTCTGATACAAGTTGACTGCAAGGCTTAAACCCCCAATTCTGACTACTTAACCACTAACTCCTTCATCTGTTCTGTTACTGCATCTCTTAGTCATGCCTCAAGAAACCAGTACAATGCTCTCCCCTGGCTAACCATCCTAGAGCCATTCCCCTGAAAGATCTCTGAGAAATGAGCTGCTAGGGCTCAATGCCTGTCCACCTGGGCAGGTGCCCATGTTGTTCAAACAACCTTCAGAATTGGCTCCAAAACTTCAGGCGAAGAAAGATAATTAAGAGAAAAAGCTTGCTGTTGGTTTATTCACTATTCTAGGCTTTTAAAGTATGTTCATCGAACAAAAGCCAGGCTCCAGGGGTTTTTAGGCTGCAAAACTACCCCTGACATTCATTGAAGCAGTATTTTTCTTTGTTTCTTCAAATTGTGTGAGGATAAGTAGCCAGCAACAGTACTCAAAACAGTACAATCTAGCCCTTCAGTTTGGGCTTGCAGAAATGCTGGTTGGGGATGTAGGATAATTAAAAATCTCCTTCTTGTTGATTTTTTAACCCTACTTGTATTATAAATTAGGGATATACACTTGCTGTTCTTTCCTCCTGGCTGCTGCAGCCACACTCCATGCTGCTGTTCTCACCTTCATTGTCCTTTCTATCTCAAGCAGTAAAAGAGGTCCCCAGCCACTGCTGATCCAAATGCTTTGGTAAGCCTTTTTTGCAGGGCTTCAGGATTTTAGGTTCTGCTTTAGCTAATCTCTTTTCAAGCTTCTAAGACCTTGTATGTTTTGCAAGATAGGACTATTCAGAAAATATGCCTTTTGCCACCAGATAGCCAAGCAAGGTCACAGCTAGTAATGACTTGCAGCATACTGCTGTCATCAGGGTGGGAACTTCAGAGACACATAGAACCTTTCTAAAAAGACCAAGGGGGTGGCTATCATCCTGAGAAAGCTCTGCAGTGCAAGAAAACTTAGTTTTGTCTTCCTTCCCTTCAGCACTGAAAGGTCACAATTCCTTCATGGTGCTTTATGTTGCCTGTACTCAGATGCAGTCACGCCAGTGACAGCAAGTACAAGGCAGAGAAGCTGTATCCTTGGTACTCCCTACTGTTTTTTCCTGTTGCCAGAGATCTTTGCAGCATCTGACAACACTGTAGGTTTTGACTGAGGTGTCTTGAGACCTATCATGTGACAGGAAGATGCTATAAACCTTTCTGTTTTCTGACACACAGACACTAGTTTTGATGAGGAAGACCAAACACAGCATAGACAAAAGCACTTACTTGAAATTATATAGAAAGGGAAGGTCAACGAGATGACTCAGGAGTCCTGACTCACTCTCAGACATATAGACATTTAAAAAAAACCTCATC